TCTACATCTTCCTCTTCCTCGCCTGGGTGGCCTTGTACCAGGTAGCATGCCCCTGCCTGCCCCACTTCCCTGCCGTCCTCCCTTGAGGGCCGACTGGGCAGCTGTAATGCCTCCAGCCCGCCCCTGCTGGACAGAACACTCTTCCTCTCCCACGAAACGCTCATGAGGCATCGGGCCTGAAGGGCACCCCTGGCACAGGGTGGTACACCCTTAGTTTTCTCCCCATTGTCGATGAGAACACCCCTACGTGCCCCATTCAATGCTCCCGCTGACGGGCTTCAAGCTGCGCACCAGCCTCTCCCTCCTTTCCCAAATTGTCCCCCACCCCCGGGGCGGGGTGGGGCGTAACCTCATCACCCTGAAGCTTCTGCCTTATTTCATGGAGAGACCTTTTGTTTTATTTTATTAATTCATTTATTTCGAAAGAACCTTTTAAAGACTGCTCATGTTTTGAGATGGCAGCCGTGGCACCAAGGGATGCGTAGGGCCTGCCACGGACCGAAGGCCCCCCGTGTCTGGACCTGTGGTGTGAAGCCAAGCTCAGGCCTTGTTGTCTGAAAGCCTCACAGTAGCTGGGGGACCAGAGACCGAGGGGCGGGGGGGTGGGGCGCGGGACAGTCAGCCTGCATTTTCCCGACCGGCTTTCTGGCCACGGGGCCCCGGTGACGCCAGCACGGGGTCGGCTTGCATGACGTGGAAGGGTGGGCGGAGGCACAGAGAGCAGCCAGGGGGCCCATTTGCATCGGTCAATACGCCAGCCCACCCAGTCCACCTTTGGACGTGGCAACCGTGGTCTCCGCAGAGCCCAGCGGTTTCCATTCACAGGCGAGCGGGGGAGTAGAGTGTGCGTGAGAGAGAGAGAGATTGATTTCCAATACCTCCTGGATCAGTCAATAAGCACACAACTCCCACCGCAGTGACTCACCAGCTTCTAAGGGGGTGGCGGTTTTGCTTTCCTGAGGGCAGACGAGCTGCAGCAAAGCCCTGACTTCATCTGTGCCTCCTGAGAACTTACTTTGCGATGTGCCTGGGGCTGGGGCTGGAGCCAGGGAGGAAGGCTGTTGGAGACTGTGGTTCTGCATGGGGTGGGGGGAGGCGCCACCAGACCCCTCGCTTGCCCCCCTCACCGTGCCTGTCCCCAGCAAGCTGCGGCGCGTGCCACCAGGGGCCATGTCTGTGTTGCAGATGAACTATGCTGCCTGGAGGAGGCTGCTGAAACCCTTCTGGGTGGTGGTGGTCTCTTACTCCATGGTGGTCCTCGGTGTACTCTACACGTACCAGTTTCAGACCACGACTGCCTTTTTCACCCGGACCCTGGGGCTGTCTGAAGAGGGGTAAGATTTAGGATCTGGGGGCTGGACGGCAGTCTTTCATGCTAGAAGACCCCAGTTCTGCCAGCCTTCCTGGGATCAGAGGAGGTGGGCACCAGCCCAGCCTCATGGCCTCCTGTGTCGAAACTTCTAGAGCAGTAAGGGGGTGCCCAAGGGGACCAGGCCTTGCCAATAGAGCTGTTAAGACAGCCACAGCCGCCTGGAAACTGGAGACGCCTCCCCACCTCATCGGCCTGGAGACGAGGGCTTGGAAGAGTTCTTTGGGTTGGATCTGCTCACTTGGGGGTGCCTTCACCAAGCTCCCAGATTCCCGGGGTCCCTGCAGACACCTCCTCCAGGTGCCATTGGCTTTGAGGTCAGAGTGGCCAAGGCCAAGGGGAGGGTAGACATGGCGGGAACTCACCAGGGCTTTGGTGCCTTAGATGCGCCCGTTCTGTGGGTCCCTGGAACCCAACGACTCTCCCCACCTCCACGTAGGCTCCTGGAGCCTTCGACCGAACCCCGTCCTCAGCTTGCCCTGTCCCTCGCCCCCCAGTTTCAGATACAGTTCTGCATTTGTGCCCTTAACCTATACCTCCCGTGACGCCCCGCGAATTCCCAGGTCTCCGGGTGCTCTGGGCTTCTCAGCCACCTGAGCCCACTGTGGGCAACTTCTGGGGGCGCCCACTGGACTCCAGGGTCCATGCTTGTAGATGCCACACCAAGAGGAAGGCTGGCGGGGTGCAGGCAGGTGTCTCTGTCAGGCGGCCCCAGCTGGGGGCTGTGCCTCCCCTTCCCCTTTCCCCCTCCAGCTTGCGGGATGTGGGCCTGGAGCAGTTCAGCACGGTGGAGCTGTTTGCGAAGATTCTGCGTCCTGCCGCCTTTCTGCTGGCATGCACCCTGCAGCTTCATTACTTTAATGAGGGTTTTCTGAAGACCACCAGCCACCCTGTGATCCCCGCTCCCCGCGAAGGCCCATGTGACAGGTACTGCTGTCCCCAGGGTGGCACTTGAAGATGCTGCTAATAGACTGCAAGACGGGCTTCGCTCAGGAGAATGGAATTAAATTTATTTTCCATTTGCTGAGTCATCCGTTTGTGGGTGTGCTCTGAAAGTGTGTGTGTGTGTGTGTGTGTGTGTGTGTGAATTAGAGCCTTGTGTGTCTTCTTGGGGGTTAGTGAACAGGACTGGGGTAGGGGACAGGATTCCCTACCAAGTGCCCCTGTTGGCAGAACCAGATCCCTGGTCTGCTGAGGGACCATTCAGGTGTCGTTGGGGGTTTTTCTGGCTGAGGCATCCTGGGATCCAATCACCTGAGGACCCCTTTTCTTTTATGATGATTATTTTTTAACCATGCCCATGCTTCAGCACAATGAAGAGGCTGGCTGTGCAGCGTGGCTTTTAAAGATTTTCACTTGTTTGTTTAATTTTCAGACTGACTGACTCATATGCTAGAGTATTTCACAGAATTCTTGTTTTCAAAGGTGGTACTTTGCCAAAAACAATTCCTTTTCTTCCTAAAGAAAATCCCGCAGGAGGCTGCTGTCTCTGGCCAAAGCTGGGGTGTGTGTATGTATGTTCCTGAGCAAATCCGAGTAGCCATTCGAATGCTTTACATGAACAAGTGCACAAAATACCTGCGCTTGATTCGCCCCTGTTCCCAGGGGAGGTGCGGAACATTCCTTTTGTCAATGCGGGTGCCATTTGTTTCTGGTTTTCCCCTGCCTGGTTCACACTCCAGGTGCAGTTGGGAGCCTGAAAAGCAGAGAGGGGAGGGGAGGGGGAGGTGGTGGGGTCCCCTGGGAGTTGAGAAGCCGAGGGCGAAGAGCAGTGCATTCTTCCCACGTCCTAGAAATAACGTGCCGGGCAAGTTAATACCGAGCAATTCCTGCTGCGGCAGGGAGAGGAAGCTTGGGGAGACGCGGTCTCTTTCTGAGGCTCTGGACCCCAGTGGGTGAACTCGTTGAATGGTGTGAGGAAGGGGTGAGGCCCTCTGAGGCAGCTTGAACCTGAGACAGGAGAGTGGCAATGTTTGGGGGCAGGTGGCCGGGGCGACATCGTGTGAACACACCAACCCTACACCAGGCCTCTGTGGTCTCTCTCCCCCTCAGCAATATGGCGGCAGGGAGGGCCACGCAGCTCCTGGCGAATGCGTAAGTCTCCCTTCTTTTCACCTCTGCCCGCGAGTGGGGCGCGTGGGCGACTCCTCCCCCCGTGTTGGCTGCAGTGCATCTATCTGCACGGCGGCAGGTTCATCTCAGTCTTTTAAAAACACCAGCAGAGAATGAATGCCCATCACGAAGGGCCTGGGTGAACAAATTACAGTGTGCTTCTGCAGCATAATGCTATGCAGCCAATAAAAAGAACGAGGCAGCTCTCTCTACACTGATAGGGGATAAGCTCCATGATATATTGCCAAGTGCGAGGAAGCAAGGTGCACAGCACCGTGTAGAGAGCGCGCTACATCTGTTTAAGAACAAGATATACACATATCTATATGCTTATGCTTATACACACAAAGCCTCTCTTTGGAAGATTACCAAGGAAACCC